TGGAGTGCTTCAGCCACTCTGTTGCTGCTGATAAAGCCCTTATGGACCTAATAGTCTAGTATAACTTTGTCCCATGAATTTTAATTCTATATATCACCTCTAGCTCTATATTGCAGAACTATGGAGAATAAATCAAATAGTGTAGTGAAATCTAGATGCACATATACAAACAATAACCAGTTAGAAACTATAATGGAAGAAGTTCCCATTTGTTATAGCACCCCCAAATATAAAGTAGCTAAAAAGATTGTTAAGAAGAAATCTGTAGGTCTAATGTGAAGACAACTAAAAAAATTTACTGAGGACCATAAAATATGACTCAAATAAATGGAGAGACATAACACATTCCTGGGTGGAAAGACTCAACATTATAAAAATATCACTTCACAAATGAATCTCAAAGTTTAATGTACCCCCAACCATAATCCCAAAGTTATTTTCAAGTCCATCTGGAATACTAGATGTATGAGTACAGCAAAAGAGAATTTGAAAATGGGGAAGGGGAGTGGCAGATTGATCTACTAGATATCAGAACAAACCATAAAACTGAGATAACTCAAATAGTGAATAACAAAAGCCCAGTGGAACAGAAAGCCCAGAATATACACACATCTATATGAGGGTACTTCAAAAAGTTCATGGAAAAATTGAATTAGGTGATAATACAAATCCTTCCATGAACTTTTTTTTTTCCTTTTTGTCTTTTTTACTGACCGGTAATGGGATCACAACCGTCGGTGTTGCGCCCGCACCACGCTCAGCCAGTGAGCGGGAACTGTTCTCCACATGGGATCCGAACCCTCGGCGGGAGCGCCGCTGCACTCCCAAGCGGCACACTCTGCAGTGTGCAACCAGGCTAGCCCCTTCCATGAACTTTTTGAAGAGCCCTGATATGAACATACACACACAGACATTTTAAATTCATAAGTAAAGGTTGATGGGTGTTAGGATGGATGGCTTACCACTTGGGAAGAAATCAAATCCCTACTCTACCCCGCACCTCATATCAAAACAAACTCCAGTTGAATTCCAACGCAAAAATAAAACCAGACAACTTTTAATAGAAGGTACACTTTATCGTTAAGAAACACTTAGGCTTTCTAAGAAGGAGATTAAATTAACCACATAAAACTTGAAAATGTCTATATAACCCCTTTTCCTTAACCCAACAAACAAAACAGAACATATTTAAAAGGAACAAGTATAAATCGAAGAATATTTATGGCCTGTATGACAGTCAAAAAGTTAATTTTCTTAACAGAGAAAGAACCACTAAACTACAATGTGACAATGATAAACATTTCAATAGGAAGAGGGACAAAGGGCATAAACAGGTAGTTCGCCAAAGGAGAGACACGAAGAGTCAATGACATGTCATTAAAATGCTTTCCCTCGTAAAAATATAATAAAGGTAAACCACAAGGAGATGGAACTTTATTAACAACTTAACAGAGACTAATAAGATTTAGGGTCGTGGAGATGTGAGTGAATGAGCACTCCTTTCCATTGTTGGGGGAAGTATGAAGGATACGAATTTTCTAGAGAACGATTTGAACAAATTTCTCCAAAACCTTAAAATTTTAGCCCTCTTCTTAACCCAGAAATTTTATTTTTAGGCATATGTATAAATAAAAATCTATACATTTAGTTATAAAGATTATCATTGCAATAACATTAAGAACATTAAAAAATGTAAACAATCAAAAGGTTGGTAGAACAAATTATGGTAAGTTCCTATGACAGTATTTAATGTTGTGAAAAATATTCACTGTAAATTGTTGGGTGAAAAAAGCAAACTACTTAAAAATAAGAAAAATATAATTACATATAGCATATATACATGCATGTGTATATTTAAGGGTATATGTTTAATTAAGTATCTCTCTCTCTATTTATATGTATATGTATATATAAATAATTAGATGAACACAGCCAAATATTAACAGTAGTTATTAATAGGCAGTAAGAATATAGTGATTGTAATATTATTTCCTTCTGTGAACTACATTTTCTAAATTTTCTATGAGGAGTATGTATCACCTTGGTTTTAAGAAAAAAATGAAAAATATATATTTAAAAACAGAGGTACTTTGTTTAAAGTAGAAGAAATCCTTTTCTTCAAATGAAATCTTAGGTGAAAATCTAATTCATGGAACCAATAAAGGTGTAAAGTCTAGAGCCCAGTCTAGTTGGTGAATGTCCCTGAGGGCTCGCTTTGAAATGTCAGGCTCTGGAAATTCTGCTGAGAAACCACTGCATGTTGACAGCGTCCCTAGGACCTGCATGATGTGTTGTTAGTGAAAACGTACAAGACCCATGATTGCTGTTACCTCTATAGTTTGTAAACTAATAGCTCATTCTATGTAGTTCATTGTATTTGTTGTTGTGTATTCATTCACTAAGCATTTTCAAAAAAAAATTGTAGATCGTAGCTTTGCATCATATTAGTTTACCTATGAAAAGAGATTTAATCATTACATTGAAATGACCTTAGGGAATTATAATTTGAGAACACACCCTCAGATTTTATTGAATGTTGATAATGAGAAATGACTGCATGTAGAATGGATCTCCATCTTCCCTAAAATTATTGTTACACACCTTGTTCATTCTGGTGTTCAACGGCCCTTGTTTAAGGATGCGTGTGATAAATTCCCCTAAAATTTTAGTACCAAAAAAAGGTTTGTCCATTTTTATAAATATGTATGAACTCCTTTTACAATGCTGTATTATTCCTATATAACTCATCACATTTCCCTTTTGACTTTGGCTGCCAGAAAGCTCAGAACTGTATTTATTGGCAAACCACAGCAACAAACAGCTGCCTAATTTTGTAAAAAAACTCTGTCTCAAAGCACTTGAGTGTTTACCCTCAACTAAATGGTCCCATGATATGCATGGCTCATGTTATGAGTTATCTGAAATCCAATTTGAAAATAGGCAAGGATTAAATAATAAACAAACAAACACATAAATAACTGAAAGCTAAGCAGGATTGGTCTTTGGCAATAGAAAATGTTCACCCTAGAGTCTGGTTCATATCAAATGCCTGTTAGGCACGTTGCCTAAATCTGGAGTGCTACTCTGGAGTGAGTCATCCCCTGGGAGTGGCTGAGGACCATGCAGCACCATCCATCCCAGGCTACTGGCTTATAAGAGGTGGTCTGTGTGGCATTCAGAAAGGCTATCAGGATGGAAAGTGTGGTAAAAGAGCAAGGTGCTGATGAACTAGCAATTTATAGAGTTCCCCATGGACAATAACCTTTAAAATAGTTAATAGAACAAGATCTTGCTAAAATGGACCAGAAAATAGACAATTTTCACACACGTAGTAATTCTTGAGCAATGGTGTATGTTTATTATCATGTTTTTGCAAAGTCATATTTATTCTTATTGTTAGCATACTTAGATAATTTTACATTAAGTGCTGAATTGGGTACAGAATGTGGAGGAAAGGAAACCAAATTTTTTTGAATATCTCTGGAGTAAATGGTTTAGCTCCATGATTTCATTGAAGGGACATAATTATTCTTTGGAACGCATAAGCTTTTCAGCGACCTCCTTAATAACATGACAATGCACTAACATAACAGACTTTCTGTTGGAATAATTTGGATACAAGGGCCCAGTAGGGCAAAATCTGGCAATGTAATCTTGACTATAGTGTCATAAAAGCTGGCAGGTGGCTTTCTGTATCAGTGACAGACACCTTTGGAGCCTGTGGGAATAGCTCAGCCTGTGTGGCTGTGCAGTGAGTTGGGCCAGCTGATTAGAGAGAAGGGTCATCATCACTAAAGGACCTGCTGTGGCATTCACAGGAGAGCCAGACCAGCCAAGAAGCAAGAGGGCCAGGCAGCTCCTGGGGCCCCAACTATCTTCCTTCCTACTCTTGGAGGTCTGCCTGGTACTCTGCAGATGGGGTTTCATCCAAGGTAGAGGTACTTGGTGCCCAAGAGCCCAGGCCCTGGAATCGAATTTCCTAGTTGTAAATCCCAACTCTACTACTTACTGTTGGCTGAGAAAAGTGGGGATAGTCTCTTACTTTGAATCTTTCTGTAAATTAATGAGATCATCTGTGAAAGGAAGCTAGCCAGCACCTGGCTCCTGATATACCCTGAGTATACGTTGACATTTACTACTATTTATTATTCAGACTGAAAGCATCACCTATTGAAATGCAAATATGCAGGGAAACACACCTTGTTACCAGCTAACATCTTAGGAGGGACTCTCACTGCTTGCATGTCGGTTAAGGTGTTCTGAGAAGAAAGGCACTCAGATTGAAACCTGGGAGAAGCGGGGAACTAGGTCCAAGGAGAGAAGTAGCTTTGACATTTTGCTCAGAGCTGCAGCGATTTTTCTACATGGAAAAGCACCCAGTTGTCGCAGCCACCCTAGCGCAAACCCTTACAGAGAGGCAATCCAACTGCTGGATCCAGCTTGCAGGGTGGCAGCCATTGGGGCCTTAGAAGTCCCCTCTCTACCAACTGTCCCATTTCACAGAACTCTCTGTGCAGACTTTCTGTGGTGAGTGGCATTGAACTCTAGAGCCACCACATTGGCTATTGTTTTCGGACTTGCCATGGGGCCAGTGCAGCAACGTGAACACACATGTGTGTAGACATGCATGCTCTTGAGAGGCTGCTCACTGGAGCCTGCTGTTTGCAGCCAGGGGAATGCCACCACTGTCCTCTCCAGGCAGTGTGCATTTGTAAAGTCATCCATCACCACTACAAACCAGACATTTCAACAACCCTCCTGTCAAGCAAGGAGAGGAAAGGAAAGTGTTTTGGAGACCTTCTGCTAAGCTATTTGTACAAAATGGATGAAATAGTATTATTCCTTCTCCCCAGGGTACCCAGGAGAGGCTGGTTCTGACACAAACCGCTCACATTCACTATTTAGGAGAGACTTCATCTCACCTCCAGCTGGGTCAGGCTGGTCCACCTGACACACGCACGCACATGCACACCAGCCCACTGCCCAGCACGAGCACTGACCTGTTAGGCCAGCAGCCTCGGCAGACAGGAAGGCGCTCCAGGAGAGGAGGAAAAAGAGGCCTGTTTCCAGCATCGGGAACTCGCACAGCCTGGTAAATTTGGTCAAGTGATGAAGACGCGTTAAGGGAAACAACAATTGCTTTTACATCTAAATCCATTTCTTGGCTGAGAAACACTGATCTGGTTAGTGGTAGTTTTGGAGTAAAAGAACTGATCTTCAGATGTGACTGGAAGGTGGTAACTCTCATAGGACCTACTTTGAAAGCCAGTGTGAGCTCCATGCTTCGCTGAGGACTGAACACACCCATGAAAATTCAAACCTGTGTTCAAATAGAAAAGCTGTCTTACCAGGAGTATAAAATCGGGTAACGGTGGGTACAAAACCTCTTGCATAATTCGCCCCCAGCCCCTGGGGGGTGTCCCGCGGGAGAACTGTAGTGGCCAGGAGTGTGGCTGGGATAAGACGCGGCAGGCGCCTCAGCACCCGCAGACGCTGCTCCTGGGGAGTGCAGGCTGTGGCAGAAGCCCTGGAGAGTCCTCTCTCTGGGGAATGGAAATTGAATCAGGAGAAGCAGTTACATTTAGGGACAGGGAAGCTGCCCATGCCCTCTTGGTATAAAGAGAATGGAGGAGGAGGTATATCATTTCTAGGTCAAACAAGATGCCCTTTGGCAGGCAATGGCTCATTTTGGCAAGGATGACGCTTGGTCAATAGTCTATAAATTGCAAATAGACCAAAGGGACAGTGACCCGAGTTACACAGAGAATGCGTATGGGGAGATGATTAGGAGTATGTGATCCATGGAAAAGGTTACATTGCAGTCGTGTCCACATTGGGTACGAAATGCCCTGACAATTCAGAGATGTGGTCATGTTGCATGATTATGTGTTTAGAACAAAATCTAAAGAAGATTCCACACTGAAAGGTGTTTAGCAGGGGGGTAGGGAAGCAAAAGCATGACCTCTGGGGTGTTAGATCTGGTTACAACCCTTGGCCCTGTCAGTCAATGGCTGTGTGATTTTGGAGCAGTGTATTAGGCTCTCTGAGCCACATTTCTATTCTATGTGAATTGGCAATAAGAATGATGTCTGCTCCCCAGTGTGGAGGGAAAAGAAGAAGCATGTTAAGAGTGTTTTGTAAAATTTTAGGAAGCATACAATACGGAGAGGCGGAATAACATCACAGTTGGGAGTGTGGCCTCTGGAACCGACTCCACCTGGGTTCAAAGTCACCATATCCACTTGGATGCATCTCTTGAGCACTTTATTCCTTGGTTTTCCCATCCAAAAATGGGGATAATCATGCAACCTACCTTATGGGTACATAAACCAGTTGATACATATTAAATATTCAGAACAGCACCAGGCATGCAACAAGTAATTTTTTCTATTACTGTAATATGAATTAATCTTGTTGTAAATAATCTTTCCTGGAAATAGAATCAATAAGGATCTGGAAGCAGTTCTTTATCTGGAGTAAAAAATAGGCTGCCTTTAGACCCTTTTTCAACATCCCCTTTTGTTACGTGGGGAGAAGGCTTTGTTTCAGTGGGGGTTAATTCCTCTGAATTCCCTCCTCCAGCTTGTTTAGAGAGAAGCCTCAGGCCAGTTTAAACAGAATAACACTTGCCTAATGAGCATTCTTTTCTTTAACCACCTGAAGCCTCCACCAGAAAACAGTTTAGTTCTGGGTCAACCTTCCCAATCCAGAGCCCAGGAACCGACAACCTGGGATTTGCCTCAGTACGGACGAGGGATCGAGGTCACTGAGGTGGAGGGGACCACAGCAGGCACCTGCTTCCCTCACAGCCTGTGTTTGCAGAGCCTATTAAAAGCCATCGAGTGCTGCATGACTAATCATGCCACTGAGCCCCCTCTCCTCTGTTGCTGCACTCTTTCCTCCGATCTGATCGGATCTGATCCAACCTCACAGCAGATTTTTAATCTCCAGGAATTTTTTTCCTTCCCTTGTCAGCCTGTTTACTTATGTGTCCACAGCTTCCCTCATGTCAGGCAAGGAAGAGTTCTGATTGCAGCTTCACCCAGTGCAGGCTCCAGAGCCCAAAAGCCTGGGTGTGAATCCTGGTCCTGAAATGTCCTAGTTTTATGGCCTTAGCCAAGTTAATGAACCTGTATGTGTCTGAGTTTCTTCAGCTGTAAGATGGGGGTAATACCAGTATCTACCTTCCATGGGTCTTGTAATCCATGCACAGTGCTTAGGGCAGTGGCTTGGTACATAGTAAAGTTCTCAGTAACTGTTAGATGATATTATTATTATTCTTGTGCCTATTAGGACTAATGCGTGAGCCAGAGTGAGCTACGTGGCCTCCTTGAGCCTCAGTTTCCTCATGTGCAAAGCGAGGATAATAGTAACCTGTCTCACAGTGCTGATTCAAATGAAGAGACACATATAGAGGCCCTGGAGCACTCTAGATGTCCCTAAGTGTTCCTAGCACCATTACTATTATTCTATTCTAAACAATACCTAATAATTGAGAGGCAATAGGGGTCCATGACTGACAGCACTGTCTGCCTCCTGGTTCACTCTCTGGCTGTGTGACCCTTTCTAAACTTCAGTGTCCAATAAAAACAGTATCTGGAGACATGATCATGATGCAGGTTACATGAGGCAGTGCACCAAAAGCAAGGAGTGGGGCCTGACGTGTCAGGACTGGGGAGATCGCTTGTTGTTGCTGCCATTGGAAACCAGCCCCACCTTTTCTGACTGGCTTTATTTCTATCAATGGAGGAGGCGCCATCGTCCAAGGTTTCCAGGATGAAGCTTCAGAGTGGCCTTTGCCTCTCTCCTCTTCTTTATCTCTTATAACTAACTGATCACTAAGTCTTGGAGGTCTTTCCTTCTAAACATCCTCTCCTTCCTGATGCTGCCACACAGTCCCTCATCACAATTTCCTCACCTATGTTTTAAAAACAGAACTGTGATCGTGTCACTCTGCTGAGCAGAAACCTTCAGCAGCTCACTATAGACTACAGAAAGAAGCTCAGACTCTCTTAAAGAACCTCCCAAGGTACCCCACAAGCTGCCTCCATTCTCCCCGCATCTCCTCATCCTCCACTTCTCACAGCTGGAGCCCTCTGGTCCTCTCAGACACACCCACCATGTGCCGCATCAGTCCCACCTCCACACCTTAAGGTATGCTGGTCCCCCTGCTGACCCCTTATGCATGGCTTTGCCTGTGTCCTCCCTGTCTGCCAGGCCAAGCCCAAGTTCTACTCTGCATGCAAATACTGCTTTTCAAATTATTTTCTGGACTCATAAGTCTGGCCGAGAGCCTAGTGTACTGTTCCAGACACAATGGCCTCATCCCCATTTGAATATTTATAGTCCCAATAACTTGGATGTGGCTTTGGCACTTGCCTTCTGCCCAACTCTTAAGGTAACATGGGTCCTTCCAAGCTGTCACTTACTGAGGGCAGGGACTGTGTTTTACTCATCAGACTCTTCTTAGACACCCTCAGTAGAATTGAGTCTTTTAGCAGCTGCTCAGTGAATCTCTGGGCCAGTCCCCGTGGAAAAAGGTCCCAACATTTTGCCCTTTCTTCACCTGGGGCAGCCCTGACCCCCCTGGCATACACCTTCCTCTTTTCCCAAGGTCTATGGCCTGCGTCTCTTGCTCTGCCTCTCCTCTGTGGCCTCCTCTGAGCCTCACCTTGATGCTGGCCTCTGTCTTTTCTCCCCAACTCTAAATTTTGCCCCATGCAACTGTTCTGAGTGAACAGCCCCACCTTGCTCAGATCCTCTAGGGACTACACCATCCTCCTGGCTCCTGATGACACAGTTGCCCAGATATGGCAAACACGTCATTTCTGCATTGCTTGCAGGTTTCCTTCCATAAAGTAGCTGTGGATGCTTGTTTAAACCCACAGTGATCTTTGGCTTGGCCTGCTAAGCTAGTGATTGACGCAGCTTGAAAGGGAGGCAGAGCACAGCCAGTTTATCACCCCCTGTTACTCCTGTCCTGTGCTTGACCCTCCCATGGCCAATCCTCATGCCCATTCCCACTACTTTTCCTAAGTGGCAATTTTTTTTTAAGGCCGTTGATATCCTAGGATCAAACAGTGTCAATAGTGCTAGAATTGACCTTGGACAAGAAAAGAGTCTTGGTCCCCTCTGCCACTGGTGCCAACCTATGCCTCCAGGGACAACTCAGAATCAACATGGCCTTGGCAGTGCTGTATCAAACTTGAACCAGACTATCTAGTCATTTACTGGCCTGGACGTTGTCCATCCTCAAAAACACTCCATGGACATTGACTGCTTTAACAGTTCCCCGCTTTTCACACGCAGACAAAGGATATCAGCGCTGTGACAACAGCATACGCGGAACCCATTGCAAATGAGCCAGCGAAGATCCCCAGGAAATTCCCCACGGACTGGAAGAACGCCACAGTGTCAAATGCATTTGGATTCTCCTTGGGGCTGTAAATGGATATAGAGCTGAAAAGAGAAGAGGGTGAAGGTTAGTCAGGGACTCCTATCTTACAGCCCCGGATTTCAGACTCACTTCTGGGAGAAGCTTGTTTTCCTGTGCGGGTGGATGCAGGTCAGAAGAGTTGTGGGGAAGCTGACAAAGACAGCGAGAGGTGGGGGAGGCAGAAAGCTCCCCTTCTTTACAGCTCAACCCACGGCATCCAGGCACTGCTGCCAGTCAGTACACGTGTTTATATTGGAAGTGTTGCAAAGAATATTGTTTCTGAGCAAACTAGGCTTTAAAGCATGGTGGGTGTATAAGGGATCTGCTGAGAAGATAGATAACTGTGAATTATTTAGTGACCATATGTCTTCAGTGCTGTTATATATTCACAAACGTTCCTGATAAAAAGTGCACTTTTATGGCCTGAGCACAAATGGGCGATACAAATCACAGCGTGTACAAAATATTCTGCCGTGATCTTGTCATAAACCACGAAGCATTCCTCCTCTCCAGTGTAACCCTTCAGAAACAGGGCACTGATGGGTGTTCAGAACATTACGATATTAACCCCCAGGGAGAGACAAAACCCTCATTTTCTCACTGAAACGAATGGCAGCAGCTGCCTGAGGTCATCTTTTATGCCCCAATTCTGGTGGCTGCCAACAGTTTTATTTCCATAGAGAAAAATCAATCCACCAATAGGCAGTCTGTTCACTTAAATATTTTTGAGGACATCATATTTGCTATTAATTTTTTAACCAGGGCTTCAAATCCCAGAGTGTTAATATGAAGGACAGGCATGTCCTATTTTAGGAAATATGAACTCCATATTGTAGCATTAAATTGAACAGATGCGCTAGAATCAGTAGCTTTAGGGAGACTAATGACATACCATTCCATATTTTTTTTTCAGTTTTTATTTTAACATGGGGTGTTTAAAACTACTCAGGAAAAATCAAGAGTTTGGCAGTGGGTTTTGGATGGGACTTTGTAGCTGTGTAAAGAGCAAAAAGTACAGTAGATGCACTGACTGAGATTAGGTAGAATTTACAGAGATGTGACTGAGTCTTCTATGGCTTGGATGATTAGAGCATCTTTGCCTGACTTTTTGTGTCCAGAGACTAGTCAAGAGAGAGTAGGGAGAGCAGATTCCAGTTCTCCTATAGGAAGATATGTGGCAAAAAAAGGTAGTTTTAAATGTTGTTAGTTTTTCCCTCCACGTCTTTAAACCCCCAAAGTAGGCCAAACACTTCTGCTTTGATCCCGTAATTGGAGAAGGAAGATGAATGTGGATCTTGAATGGACTCTCAAAATGTATGCGAGAAAGGACTGCCTTTGAAGTGTTTTTCTTTTTGTAAAGTGTTGTGCTTTGCAGAAAAAAGGAAAAGCAAACCCGAATTTGGGTCCTTTGTATCTGCCACTCCCGAGAAAAGGTGTCAAACCCAGTGGCCCTTAGGAAGCCTGGCACCCAAGGCTGTGAGGCTCCGTGTGTTCCTGTTGACATGCACCAGCATATTTTTTTCCTTCCAGTGCAGAAACAATAGTGATAAGAAAACATCCAATTTGCATTCTGCCTTTCAAATACAGGTTTTTGCACAGTAACACAGCTTAGTGTTAATTCCTGAGGCTGCCACCAGCAGAGCTGATACACAGAATAGGCACCTTTATTCTTTAACCTGCCACCCCTCTATGCCCCCGAAGTGCCTTCTCTGTCCTGGTGCTTCTGGACTTGGAACAGCACCATCGCGTCATTTGGCCATGTCCTGTACTGTTATTTGTGGAATGCTTTTCTGGAAATCAACTCATTTTTATACAAATGCAAGAGATTTTACTAAAAAATATCTATGAAATCATAAGTTTGATGTGCTAATTATATTCCTTTTTAATATATGTGAAAATATATAATTTGGGGAAAAAAAGCTCACCTGTGTGCCACCTAAAATCATCTGCAGTGGGGCTGCACATAGCCCCACTGATCTGCAGTCTGCCCTTCAGGAGACATTTTTCTCTTCCCACCCACCTGGCAGGGTATAAGCGTTTCATTTGCTAACTTCATGCCCTTCCCTGAGACGTTTGACTTATCTGAAGAAAAAAGCTTAACTCCCTTGAATTATGGAGATTGTCCATTGATCTTGTGGGCCCTAAAGCTTCCCAGGACATAGGAACTGGGTGCCCGCTGAGTGCCACGTGTGCATTAGGTACAGGGTACTGTACACAGGTAAGGAGGAGCACAGAGGAGGGAGGCAGAATTTGATCCAACAAACATCTTACTGAACACCTGAGATATACGAGGCGTAGCTAGTCAGAGAGGCTAAGATATCGATGACAGAGGGCTCTAGTCCCAGTGCTGAGGTGATTTTGTGAGAGATGCACATTTAATGATACAAAGAAGGAAAGGGGAGCTATTTTAGAATAAAGGTGATGGCATTTGAGCAAGGTGGTGAGTCATCAGACAGTGACGCAGAGAGGGTACTGGGCAGTGGAAAGGCCAGGAGGCAGGGGAGTTCAGGGCACATGCAAGGTGTAGCTGTGGTTACGGTGGAACCCAGGGAGCATGTGGGTGGACATAGCAGAGGGGACAGGTGGGTGAGGTGGCATCACTCAGAGCCTTAAGTTCCATGTTAAGATTATACAGAAGGCCTCACATTTACATAATATTTAGTCCTCTTGGCCTCCATTATAACTTTACTTGATCCTATAATATCTTTGCAAGATAAACTGGGCAGTTTATTTTTCTTTCCTTTCTTCCTTCCTTCTTTCCTTCCTTTCCTTCTTTCTATTAAAAAAAAGTATGGATCAGATAAATTAGGATCACACAGGCACTAAATTCACAGTATAGATTTCTTGTTTCTCCCTTAGAAAAGTGATTTTGTTGGGAGGAAACCATAAACCCCCATCAGGATAGTTGAGTGACAGTGTCACACTGACTGTAAGGACAATAGATATTCAGGTACCAGAACCTTTGATGTTCGTGCCTGGGATGGAGCATGGGCAGCAATTTCCTGGACACAAGCATAAGAGCATAGTGTGTGTTGAATGTGGCAACAGCACCCTCTCTCCTGTCCCACCAGCAGCAGAGACTTGGAGCTTATCACAGAAACCTGCTTCATGTGTGGCTTCTGCTCCTGGACTGTAAGCTTTGCCAGCCCTGGCCCGGGTCTCACTCCTTTTTGTATGCCCGGGACACAGCTGGTGCCTGGCACATGGCAGGCTGCCTAAGGGCCGATGGAATGAAGGCAGGATGACTGGAAAGTAGAAAGGAAGAAAGGCAGGAAGAAAGGAGACTTGCAAAAGCTAGTTGTCTCTTGAATCACCATCTGCACATGTTTTATTAGGCACTCACTATATGTGGTTGTGTTGTGGCTACTTTTAGGTTTATCAACCAAATTTTGAAACTGACACTTGAGCCTCTTAACTTGAGCTTAAGATTTGACACTATTGGATGAGTGGCTTCATACATGCCTAGACTCAGTTACATCATCTTTAAAATGGAGACAATAGGAGCACTTATGTCCCAGAAGTGTTGTGAGGATATGAGATACATTTTAAACTCGTGTATGTATCTGGTGGACTGTAGAGCCATTCACTGAGTGCTTATGAGGTACGCTCAGAATAAACACTCAGTGAATGCATCTTCACCACCGTCATCATCACTGTGCTAGGAACTTCCACAAGTCTGACAATGACAGACAGAAAAGTGCAGTGGCTAACCCAGGCCTCAGTCCAACTACTGGTAGATGGGGTGTGGCTGTCCTCCCATCACACCAAACTTTGAGGTTGCTGGAGGAGAACTAGTCCCTCTCACAGGGGAACAGAAGGGTGTCCAGGGAGGAGAGGCACTAGGCAGGCATCCCAGGGAAAGGGCCTTAGGAGTGAGGCTAAAAAGCTGTCATATTTATTGTGGATCTCTTGGCTTGACAGATCAAGGAGGGAAGGGATGTTCTCAGCATCCTGGGCAGGGGTCTGCCCCAGGGACAGGAATAGGCTAGGACACTCGGCTTGAGCTGAACCTCCCTAAGTTTGGTTTTCTGCAGGCAAGCTCTGCAGCATCTGGTAAGGAATGAGGGGAAGCAGGTAGGAGCCTTATGGCCCAGGAAGGTTGCATCGCCTGGACTGCCAGGACTTTAGGAAGTTGTTCTTCCAGGCTCTAGCTCCTGGCAAGAGGCATCTCTCCAGACTCTGGTTTTCAGCTGCAACGCTAAGCCTCTGGATTTAGAAGCAGCATCTGTGGGAGGGAATGGAAATAGCCAAGGGTTTGGGTAGCACATATGGAGTTTTCCGACTTCAATCCAAGGGAGGAACAACATTGTTCCAGCAATTTCAGCCCTTTGGATGTATCCGCTCTTCCAAGGGAGATTCCTGAACCATTCGTGATGCAAATACTGGAGAGGGGAGAGGAGGGAAGAAGGAATTGGATTTTCTGTTAACCTACGTGGTGGTTGTTCTTTGAGACACCACTCTGAAGAGGCACTATTTATAGCACAAACTGATCAAGAGGGACATACAGTCCCCAGACTTCTGGGAAATAGTTGGATGGAACCGATATCCTTGAAAATGACATGACCAGAAATACACAGTGTTTAATATTTCATCTCATAAGTTGGAAATAAGTTCAGGTTATTGATTCGTTCTGTGCAGGAACAGATTATTCAGCAAAAACTAGTTTGATGACTGGGTATGGTATCCATACTCAGAAATAAACGTGTGCAGCATCTTTTAAACTCAAATTTTTTTAAATGGATGAAATATCTTAAATTCCTTTGATGAAAGTTAGATGAATAAGGATCATTTTGCTTGCTGTACCGTTTAAGAATCACAGACGTGATGGAGACTCCCGTGTTTCTCTGCAACCCGTGTTTTCATCCACAGGATGCTCCTGCAAGCACACAGCTGAGGTAGCATTAAGAGCATAGAATCTGAACCTGAGATCTTGGTGTAAATCTCAGCTCTGCCACTTCCTGGCTGTGTGATCTTGAGCCAGTTAAACTTTCTGTACCTCAGTCTCTATAAAATGAGGATGATA